TACAATCTCGACGAAGATGACTTCTATATCGGAGATTCTAAAGTCCAATTCGTTGACGATAATGTGCTAATAAAGGACAGCAAATATGAGGGAACGAGGGGCCTCTTTGAATTGTTGTTTAAGAAGCGTCCACTTAAAATTTACACGAGCGACGATGAAAAGAAATATGCTGACATCATTAGAAATACCAGTGCCAACAGACTGTCTTATGACTCATCGAAGCCGATATCGGGCGGAAATAGCTGGAAATATAAATATGTCATAAAGCCGATTCTTCAAAGACACCGACATCGTGGTGGCGGCGGCAGTAAGCTAATGATGAATGTCACAGATAACGCTATCGACTACGTGTACTGGAACGATCCCAACGAACTGGTGGATCGACTTAGGCTTTTAATGGCCTCCCAAGAAGCGGGAAATTCCAATCACGTAAATGAAATGAACAGCATCATCGAGGAGCTTCTGGAAGCCAAATTAATTGCACCACGTGATTAATTATTGATTAGTTTGTGTAGGACAGTTGTTCAGTAACCATTATTAAATTTTTTGTATCTATAATTGTTTTATTATTAAGTATATATCAATGTATTTATTGATTTAATAAATGAGTTTAAAATATACCAGATTTTTTATTCATTTTTAATTTTAAGGGGGAAAAGGGAAAATAAAAAGATAATAATTTTAATTATTTTATTAAATATTTATATCATACATATTAAAGAGGTTAAATTTGATTTATTTCGTTTCCAAGTACAGGTTCGATAATATAAGAATTTTATTATCCTTTCTTGAAATCAGACTCGATATATTGCATCAACACCTATAGCTGTCCTGTGGGTGTAAGCCTAGTGGAATATGTACCGGGTGTTGGTATGATTGTCGAACTGGACCCTCTTTTTTGATCGGTGATGTGGATATTACGTATCTTCCTCACAATCTCAATGTACTTGATGTCTTCCTTTAAACATTGGATATTTACCAGGAATTCATTTAACCTCTTCATATATTCTAATCCGTTATTCAGCAAAGTTCGAAAATTATTATTTTATAGCTTGTAGAACTGCCTTTACCCGCTGTCAGTGTTATTATTATTACTCGAGATCCAAACTTTTCCGAGACAATGCTGATGTCGGATATTTCATATTTTGTATCCACTTCGATTTGGTTAGTTCTAATGAATGCTTCTCTGCTACAAAGAAACATGTTTTTTATTTAGCAATTAATTCGATACTTCCAGAGTCTCAAACTAGAATGAGCTGGAGACGTTCCAGTCTACTGTTTTATCCAGTTTGTAAATTTTCGTTTAGCAAAAAAAATCTGAGCTGTTAAATCCATTACACACAATATTGTGCAACATTATGAAATATTGCATCACCCGTTTATCTACAAGTTCCCACGCTAGGACCACAGTTACAGGTTGAAACTTGTTTAAAAGCCAGACAAAATTCCAAGAAAAGGGTAATAAATCATATATTTGTTTACATAACGGTAATAAAAACAACACCTGGACTGGAAATGGTGATGACGTCATCATTGTTTTCCAAGAACGTGAGTCATGTCCACCTCTACAATAAAAAATAGCTGCTATTATTTTTTCAAATAATTCAAATGTAAAATCCATTTAAAACATACCTTTCGGTGAACACCCTGTATATGGATACTCTAATAATAGCATAAATTAATCTTTCCCAACTGATATTTATACGTAAATATTCGATTGTCGGCGTAATATTATTTTATGTGATAATAACTACATGATTAAAATTTGTTTACTTTATAGGCACGTTCCCATATGAAGCTGGAGAACATTACATTAAAAAATAAAACTTATGCATCCAAGAGAGTATCAAAGCAAACGCTAAAACCGAACAACTCTTATGTGTTGATTCGACACGGGATTTATTTTTTTTAAATAATATTTTTATCATGAGTACTTTTAGTCGATTTTTATCTGAAGCCTCCGCTTTTGTTTATATTAAAACATCTTATCTGGTATTAGTCATACACAGCTGTGACCATATTCCAGGAAAGTTACATCATCATGTTGTTATCTTAAACCCACGCGCGCGCGCTCGTTTCTTATATTTTCTACCTTATAACAAAAAGATTGATACCAAGAGGCCGTCACCGCTGCCGCCGCCGCCTCCCGTAGCCCGCTGCTTGAATCGCTGATCGGCACCGGCCGCCTGCTCCCCCCTCGTACGCCGGCACCCCGCTCCCCCTCGTACGCCGGCACCCCGCTGACCGCAGTCGACTTCCAGCATCGCATACCTACCTAATACATCGCATCTCCAGTACATGAGCGTTGTGGTCTAGTGGGTTGTGTGATTGCCTCGCAATCCGAGGGACCGGGGCTCGATCCCCACAGCCGGCATAGGTTTTTTTTTAAATTATTAATTCTTCGCCAACAATGACGTCATCCACTGACTAAGTTTCCCGGGCGGCGTGGAGGCGGCAGGAGCTTGGGCAGGAGGCGGCCTGATTTTGTATTTCGCACCATAATCTGATTGGTTCGGAATACTGCAATATGATTGGTCGATCTAACCGGGGGCGGGACCAAAAGGAGGAGTGGAGGGGGTAAAATTGGTAAAAAATTTGCAAAATGAACCTCCATAAGAAAATACATGGGATTTTGTCACAGAATGAAGGTAGCCTATCTACTGTTACCTCTAGACCACCATAGTAGCATTTAAAAACAGGAATAATGTGGTTGATATATCGATACTAATTAATATTTCAGCTATTTACGGTTGGGTAGCGCTTAAAAGGATAAAAAATTTAATTACTAGAAGAATTCCAAGGTATTTAGGAAATGAGTTAATATAAACAAAAATAAAATATGTTTAATACATGCGCAGAACAAACTTGTAATTAGTGCCTTAGTTTCTTCAAAATCGCAATGTTAGCATAAATCATGATAAGGGAGGTCAATGACATCCAAACCGCATAGCGTCATTCTCATACGGTTTAATAAAATTGAAGTCACGTGATCGATCGCTGAAATTGAGGTTCAAAGTTAAATATGAACAAAAATAAAATATGTTTAATACATGCGCAGAACATACTTGTAATTAGTGCCTTATTTATTTCCTCTATAACTGCAGTGTTACCAAAAATTACAACTTGATTTCTAGTCTATTTCCTTTTAATACTACCACGCTGGCATAAATTGTAAACTGAAATATTGTTTCCTTTAAAATATTAGCCGTTTGTTAGTCGTTTATGTCACGTAAGAACTAGCTTCCTTATCGCTCTCAAAGCTTTTGCTTTAAAGCAGAACGCTGTTTTAATTTTCGCGACTTGTCACTACCAAGAACAAGACAAGAATGAGTTGCTTGCTCAAGGTATTCTTATTGTTTTAGAGGTGGTGGGGGTTAAGGAATTAAACAACACGTATTTTAATCTATTTCTAGAATTTTATTTACATCATTAACGAAAATTTCAATAGGAGCATTTACAAGCTTAAAATCGTTGTATTTACATGTAATATACGGTATCTCATCCTTGATGCGGTTAAAGAGGTTGATACTGTTGGGGTTATAATCTAAATCTGCTACGACTCTAGCCTTTGGGTGCTTATTCTGTAACCTCTTCAAAGATTGCGGGAAACGTCTTCTCTGAGTTCTAATGATAAAGTATGGGTACTCGCTTGGTTGACTTTTTAGTACGATAGCAAACATATGACGTTTGTTCGGGTTAATGACCTTTGGACTTATATCTTCAACGTAATTTTTAAGCTTCTCGTTCCTTGTCTCCAAATCTTGCAACTTGACCATCAGGGCTTCATTATCGTGTTGGTACCTGACTTTGAACTCGTCAACGAAATACTCTTTTACTATTCTGTAGCATCTATCATAAAAACTCTTGGAAATCCAGCAACAACTCTTCTCGCACTGTAACGTTAAATTTCTGCATTACTATACCTAGTTTAAATTACCAAACCTAAAGAAAACACGAAATATTTATCAAGTTTTATTTAGTGAAAATACAACGTATAACATACATATATAATCACGGAAGCTCCTGTATATTCCAACAAATAGTGCCCTACAAAAAAAAACAACACATCGATCGGAAGTCAAATAAAAATTGGTTGGTATACTCACGTTTCTGAAATGCAGTTATCTTCAAATCGTAACTTGTTGCAAAATTTTATTAGCATTGAAATTGCAAATGGGGCTTTGAGAAACATGGTGCTGGTATTTACTACTCATGGGGGCATCTACAGTGTCTTCGGTGATAACCAGGGAGACCTAAAATAAAAATAAATTAGGTCATAAACATAACCCAAATTATAAACAAGGTATAAGGCTATTCTTAAACTTATAAGTAAGGTTACAAGCAACTTATATGTAAAATATCGTTATAACTTACCTATTTCAGTCACTTCCACACGTCTGTGTATCGCTGGAACGTTATCCATAAATTTTGAACAATTTTGATTGTTTACATTGGGTCCGATAGCTCGCCATTTTCTAGCCGTTCTCGATTTGACCCACGGTCACCTGTTGATTGATGAAGCAGTTCTCCTACGTTTGCGCGTGGTACCCTGTTGCCAAGTCACTTAGGACAATTTAAGTAGTTCTAGGTTTCATAATTAATTATTCTTATCGTGATGCTTGTACAGTTGTGTTTATGATAATTTATAGGGATGTAACATTTAAATATTTGTTACGTTATTGTTCATCTGTAAGATTTATTTCATTATTTTTATAATGTATTTTTCCCATTGGTTACTGTCGAACCAATGGCAAGGTAGTTGAGAATTAATTTTGGAACTGCGTCAGACTACTTGCGCAGGATTGACTTCTTCTGGGATACAGAGAGAGGGTGGCCATTTTTCGGTTGTGAGTTAAGTTGTGGGGAAAATCGGTGATTATAGAAGTCATCTCTTATGAGGATTATTTTTCCCCATAACCGTGAATTGGCTTGGGATTCGTCTGGTTCCCTGGTTGGAGTATTTTTCGTGGATGAGAACCTGAGTCGAAGCCTTAGCAAGGGATTATTTTCACGCCGTCTTGGTGCTGAGTAGAACTCCGTGCACAGTATAAACCTGGAGGCCTGTACCTGGAGTGGTTAGCGCCGTGAGTGGTCTGCATTAGTGTGATGCAGTTGTGACTAAAACCCCTTAGTTATAAGGGTAAGTATCTTTTTTTTACATTGTTCTTTGATGTTTAGTGAACATATTATGTAATTAAATATTGTGTTGCATGTTCCATTTACGAGTATAAGTGCTCATACAATAAATTTTTGTGTAATTTCGTTACTTGAATGGTTATTTTATATTGTACGCTCGGTTTGCGACGTTGTCACGTTTATTAATTTTCCGATTTTCACAAGAAAAGTGGCGAGGTCGTTATTTTCCACTTATTAGATCCAGTTGGGGTGCATTTTAATCCCACTATTCTTTTTCTCTTTTTTTGGTTTTGGGAATATAGCTTTTGATGTAATAATAGATGCAGTTTTGATATTATTTTTTGTATAATCGGTCTGGTTGAATACAATAATATGGGTATTGGGTATTCCTAACCTAACCTAATTATATTATGTAAAATTCAAGTAATGGAAAAAAAAAATTAGTGTTTCATTACCATTTTGTTTTGTTTATTCATTGAATTACAGAAGATTATTTGTGTGCCAATAGGGATAGTGTTATTATTGCATTTTATTTTATACAGGGTTTTATTACGGGCTTGGAACAGAGACGTCTACACTTCCTGCAGTTAAGCATTCTGAAAAGTGGACTTAATTCTGTGGAACTTCTACACCTGAGTCCGGGATCACCCCAGAGGTTTGTTTCCTGCTACTCTAAGAGCCAATACCTCATTGGGGATTGGTGTTGATCGTCCCAGTCGTCGCGGCCAGTTTAGATCCTTGCCATCGGGTCTTCCTTGAGAAGTCCAAGCAGTCGAGACACCTCCAAGTCATCGCAGGGATACACGCAAGTTCCAAATTACGTTATATTTTATTTGCAATTGTTTTATCATTCCTGCTTATTGCTGCTTCATTTTTTTGTTGTTGCTATGAACTGCCCTATTGCTATATAAGTCACTGCACGGCTTGTTTTTTCCTCACCTGGAATAGTAGTGTTCTTTGCCAAATATTTTTCTTATCATTCCAAATAATTTGTATCCAGAATATAATAATAGATCTGTATTAGTTTAGTTTTGGTAAATAGTAGTTCTTTAGTAGATTTATTTAGGTTAAATTTCACATTGTATACTTGCATAAATGTACATATTAGCTTATTTCTTTAACAGATAGTAGTTAATATTATTCTTAGTTTAATAACAATCCGCTTATATCTTACAACTTAGCCAATTGACTATTTTCATCTCTATTGCACGCATACTTATATACTCTATTAACACGGTTTCGCTTAAATTATTAAGGTGCGACTAATGCATATGCATAGGAATTCAAGGTTTATTTTCGCATGACAGCGGTTGCGCCTGAGCTCAAGCGACGCTTATTATATATATTTTTTTTGTCATCCTTTTCTGCGATTAATTTTCGCCTCCTTGGCGTACGCCTTAATTATTTTGCGGCGGAGCTGTTATTACTAACCATAGCTTACTGTGGCGTGCCGGTGCCAATAATTAAATTGGACTAGTGATATTGCTTGATCACCTGAAAATCACCATCCTCGTGCTTGACCATATTTCTTGATTTATTATATAAGTTTATAGCACCTTCCATTAAATATATTGTAATATTAATAATATAATATAAATCGAATATTAGTGGTTTCATTTGTATCACCCTGTTTAGTAATTTGGGGGGAGATATTATTGCTATTTGGGGTATTTTCCGTTTTATAAATTATCTTGGCGCCCATATTAAACATCAAATAATTTTGGAACCCAGCCTTCTCCACTGTAGTCTGGCCGGAGAATACCCAGCTCTCAACTGAGACCGCTGGTACATTTGCAACCCCAGAAAAGGTGGTGGCAATTTTTGGCGCCCAACGTGGGGCCGCGTCGAGCTTGAGAAAAGTGGTAATATTGTCAAGATGACGGCGAGGATGCAAGTTAATCGCTTGAACCAAGATGAACTCGCGTATGAGCTCAAGATTCGAGGGATAGCGATAGGGACTGTGGATCAAATGCGTCACGCTTTAGCTATGGCCTTGAAGTTGGAAAAGTCAGGTGACAGCTTTAAATTTCCGGCGTATCCGTTTAGCGTAGAAGAGGATGTCGCTGCTGTTGGTGCTACCTTGACAGAGTTGGACCCCTTGGTTTCTTCCTTTAATAAATCCTCTACTAGTAATGGTTTCCTTAAGCTGCAGTCAAGACTGTCTCATGTTTTGAATCGACTTGATCATATTGAGGAAACATGCGCAGAACGACCGGACTTATTAGCCAAGACCTTGTCGATGTTGGACATGCTTCATAAGAAGGCAGAAGACTGAAAATTTTCAATCTGTTCCTCCCCAGTTAAGTTTTCTGGAGCAGGGAGCCGGACCCTTTGGTTATTCTAGTCCCGTTAATCCGAATAGGAGGCCTTCGAATGTTCCAGTACCTCCTAGTGCAAACCTTACCCCAACGAACGTTAAACCTATACCACCTCATAAGTGGGACCTAAAATTTTCAGGTGAAAAGAAGGGGTTGTCACTGAGCGCGTTCCTTGAACGCGTAGAAGAGTTGCGAGATGCTCGTCATGTATCCAAGGATGTTTTGCTTGAATCGGGAATTGATTTATTTTCAGGTAGAGCATATCAATTTTACTTAGCGTATAGGAATCAGGTGACTTCTTGGGATGAATTCATCACTCTGTTAAAAGAAGAGTACCTTTCCCCCAACTACAATGAAAAACTATTCGAAGAGATCCGTAATCGCACACAAGGACCTAATGAATCAATGGGAATATACTTGGCAGTGATGAACGGGTACTTCAACAGACTGACATGCCCAATTGCCGAAGATACGAAGCTCAAGATTCTTATGAGGAATATCGCACCTTTTTACCAGACTCAGCTTGCTCTGGTAGAAGTGACTTCAGTCGCACAACTTCGAGATCTTGGAAGACGACTGGAAGCCAGGAAAGAAGCGGTGGAAAACTTCGCCCCGCCAAGAAGAACCAATGTCCTTGAGCCTGATCTTGCCTATGTTCACACTTCGGAAGCTTCTGTGAGTAGTGTTGCGTCAACCTCTAGTACGGGAAGTACTAAATCTCCGCAAACGGTGGTTTGCTATAGGTGTAATCAACCTGGCCATAGAGCCATAGGTTGTGTCACAAGGAAAGGTAAATTCTGCTACCGTTGCAATAAAGAGGGCGTTACTATAAAAACTTGTTCTGATTGTTCACGGCAGGGAAACGCACCTCGACGCACTTGAGTGATCGGGTTAAGCGCGTCGAAAATCAACCGATCGACAGATACCGTATTCTTCTTGATTACATCCTCGAACATGTCGCGAATGATGAACGACCTTATTTGAAGGTCGATGTTTTAGGTAAATCTATTCTAGGGTTAATGGATTCTGGAGCTAATCGCACAATAGTTGGTAGCAAGGGTTTAGCTCTTGTGCAAGAACTCGGTCTATCGATAGACCGTAGTAAAGCTTCAGCTTGTACCGTTGCGGATGGACATACCACTGGCAGTATTGGTGTGGTGAACCTACCTATTACTCTCAGGGGGCGATTTCGACTAGTCGAAGCTATCGTTGCTCCAGGGCTGCCGCACTTGTTAATATTAGGTGCGGACTTTTGGCGCCTAATGGGCATTGTGCCAGATTTGCGACATAACGAGTGGTATTTCTCCGACGTACCGGTAACGGTAAATTCATGTAACCATATCAACGAGCAGACTCATTTGACACCATTAGAGCAATCAAGGTTGCAAGCAGTGATAGATCGTAACCTCAAATTGGCTGGAAGCACCTTAGGTTGTACTGATAAGGCCGAACATGTCATTATTACCAACAGTGAACCTATTAAGCAGCGGTACTATCGAGTGAATCCGATCGTACAAGAACAGATTAACAAGGAACTTGACGAAATGCTCCGCTTAGGGATCGTGGAACCCTCTAAGAGACCATGGTCATCTCCTATTGTTTTAGTGAAGAAAAAGGATGGAACTTTTAGATTCTGTGTGGATTACAGAAAAGTAAATTCGGTAACTGTAAAGGACAGTTACCCATTACCGCTAGTATCTGACACCCTGGATAAACTACGCAACGCAAAATATCTGTCAAGTCTTGACGTGAAGTCTGCCTACTGGCAAGTACCTGTTGCTATGTCATCGAGGCCTTATACAGCTTTTTCAGTGCCTAACCGGGGCTTGTTTCAGTTCACCCGAATGCCTTTTGGACTTCATAACGCCCCAGCCACTTGGCAGCGATTGATAGACAATGTCCTGGGTCACGACCTAGAACCATACGTTCTTGTCTATCTAGACGATGTGGTAATTGTAAGCGAAACTTTCGAAGAACACCTGTCTATATTGGAGGAGGTTTTCCGTAGACTTCGGGAGGCTAAGATAACGGTGGGTATCGACAAATGTCAATTTTGTCGCCCACAGATGAAATATCT